AACAAGTGATCGCTCTCAAAACTCTTGTGGGCAAGAGATAACTGTGATAGTAGTAGTAGTAGTAGTAGTAGTAGTGGTCATTTGATACATCACCACCACCACCAGCAGCAGCAGCAGCAGCAACTGATCACCATTCCAAGGACCTCCTGCTACTTTTTTCCGCTATCTGGTCAAGTTAAACTGAAAGAAAAACACGGCTGATAAGAGAAAAGAGAGAGAAAAAAGCTGTTGGTGTAGGTGAAGTGTTTTTGCTCACTTTTTTTCAGGTATGAACAAAAAAGACAAACTGCACTGAAACTAATTAACCTTTTTTCTGAACTAATTAACAAGAACAACAGCAACAGCAAAGAGGAAAAAGGAAAAGGGGGCACTTACCTATTTTACATGTTTTCAAGAGTGTGAGTTGTTCTGGTTGTTCTGATCGGCAGTTGTTTTTTACGTTCCCGGAGCTTATGGATNTTACCTATTTTACATGTTTTCAAGAGTGTGAGTTGTTCTGGTTGTTCTGATCGGCAGTTGTTTTTTACGTTCCCGGAGCTTATAGACAGCGTGACTAGGCAGCGGAGCGGCGCTTTCCATTTGTGCCGTCTTCCACTCTAAAAACACGTAGCCGGCAAACAATAGCCCAAGCAGTAACAACAGCAGCTGCTGACTTCTTGTTCTTCTAGTGCTCCTCCTGCTCTTCTGATGTCGGTTATTTCTTTTTGCCGGTCACTACTACACAGACCGTAATCTTCGGCGGTGAAGAAGAAGAAGAAGAAGAAGCAAAAGAAGGAGAAGAAGAAGAGGAGACGGTAATTTGCCTGTCTACGCCAGCGCAGTGTTCGTCTTCGTCTTCTCTTCACAGTTGTTGGCTAGCCCATCAATCACACAAACCAAACCAAAGGCAGCAACGGTGGTGGTGGCACTTGAGTGTAAACTTTTTTGTTTTGCTGCACACTGCTCTTCACTGCTCTTCGTCTTCATCGTCTGCTGTCATCCGCTTTCAAAAATATAAATCAAAAAAAAGTTTCTTGCTGCAAGAGCGCAGTCGACTTCTATTTCTTTTTGTCGTTGCTGTTGTCAGATTAAGTGAGAGAGAGAGANATGATGATGATGATGATGATGATGATGATGATGATGATGATGAGGCTGCTGCTGCTGCTGATGATGATGATGATGATGATGATGATGATGAAATCGGCAGGTATAAAAGGCGAGCGCCTTTGACCGCGCGCGAGGTTTAGTCTCTGGGGTAAAATTATTTTTTCTTATCGCCAAAGTTTTCGTCCTTATTAGTTTTCAAGAAAATGAATATCAATTAACACCATTTTGCACTTTTGTTAAAAATGACACAGCTCATTTCTTTAGTTTCACAAACCTTCTCCTTTCCTTTCTTCTTGCTACTTCTTTTAAAAAATCCCAGACAACTCCTCTGTGATAACCTCACCACCCCCTTCCTATGGACTTCTCTAGTGAACGTTCAATCTGATACTTTTTCTGCCAGCTTCCTCCCCGTTTACGTCAACTTCACCGGCGACGATGTCCTTCTCAATGGCCACCTTAGTGAAGGCTGCCGAGAGGCGGTGGCCCTCAGCCTGGCCGCCCTACACGCCCGCCAGCTGTGGGCGGCAAAACTGTACAACAGCTGGGCCAAGTTTCCGCCCAGTGGAACGCTGGTGGGCACGCTGGTCGACTTTGGCGACTACGATCAGTGTCTAGCAGGAAGAGATGATCAAGAGGGCGAAGTGTATAAGGTGGAAGGTATCAATCTATCATACTGCCTGGTAGATGTTGCCCTGCCAATGCCTCGACCGATGCCCCATCAGCACAACTACTTTCACCCGACCAATGGGCTGCTGCCCGATCGATTGGAAGTTGAAAAGTTTAGAGCCACTTTAGGAAATGCTTCAACGGCACGAACAGCAGAGCAGATGGCGGTGTACCTGGCTAATGGATCAGTGTACCGCCATCTGGAGCAGATCTCCTCCGTCTTCTACTATGAAGACATTCAGATTGGCGTCTGCTGGCCGGCAAATTGTTCTCAGAAAGATGTTACTGCGGTGATGGGCAAAGGTGAGTAGATCTAAGCACCTACTGTACAACGATTTAAAATTTTTTCTTCAAATAACTTTTTCATTAGTGGTCAAAAGACACGGTTTTGAGCTGGGAAGGGTGACCTGTGAGCAGCGGCAAAATTCGGACGGAAAAAATGGCTGGAAACTCGATTCAGTGCAGATGATGGCCGTGTAAGTCAAGTGTTTAGTTTTTGTTACGAAAAAAATCGTAATTTTATTTGTTTGTGAAAATCATTTCTAGTGCCTTCTTTCTCTCCTCAATCACACTCGCCCTGTTGGCCGGCCTCTACGACCGCTTCTTCTTCAGCCGACGACGTAAGTGCACTAAACTTTTAAAACTTTTTATCATTTCAATTTACCTATCAAAACTACTACTTCCNCTTCTTTCTCTCCTCAATCACACTCGCCCTGTTGGCCGGCCTCTACGACCGCTTCTTCTTCAGCCGACGACGTAAGTGCACTAAACTTTTAAAACTTTTTAACCATTTTACTTCATTTATCAACACTACAACTGTACAATTGTACAAACCTAGGCGGTCACCAGCACGCCAACTTCCTCATCTGGTTCTCGCCGCTGCGAAACGTCCGCAAGCTAATTGACGCGCCCTCCACAGAGGACGACCTCGCCTGCATCCACGGCATGCGCGTCCTCACCCTCGTCTGGATCGTCATGGGCCACTCCATCAACTGGAACACCCTCAACTCCTTCCGGCAGACGTTCATCGTCCGCCAGCGGCTCACCGAGATGACGCCCCAGCCGCTGTACCGGGGCATCCTCACCGTGGACACCTTCTTCTTCCTCAGTGGGCTGCTCACCGCCTACGTGACGCTGAAGTACACCGGGGGGCGCTATGAGCGCTTCAGCTCGGTGATGTTCATCACCCTGAGATACCTTCGCCTGACGCCGCAGCTGGCCATATGGATGCTTTTCACCATTCTCCTGCCGGCCCTCTTTGATGGCCCACTTTGGAAGAGGTATATTGCCGTGACAGAGCAGTGCTACGACAACTGGTGGGTCAACATTGCCTACCTCCAGAACTTGGTTGATGTTGGGCGGATTGTGAGTTTCAAGAAGTTTGAGGCTTTGAATGGTTAAGTTCTGACCTTTTTTTTGTCTACTATACAGTGTGGCCTGCACACCTGGTACCTGGCGGCAGACATGCAACTCCACTGGATCTCCCTCTTCCCAGTTATTCTTTGGCTGAAAAATCGTCGACGGGGACTGCTTCTGGTGAAGGTCCTCATTGGGGCCAGTTTGGCGGTGAGCAGTCTGACTATCTACCTGCAAAAGCTGCCGCCCGGCTCGGTGATTACCTCCAACAAGTGAGATTTAATTTTTTAGAAACTTGAGTTTTTAAAGTCTGTAACAAAATTTTTTTTGCAGTGACTTTTTTGACGAGAACGCCATGCCAAAAGCGTACCTGCGTTTTGTCTACAAACCGTGGACGCACGCCTACGTCTTCTTCCTCGGCTTCCTCCTCGGCG